TGGAGTATCTGTCTGATCCCCCAAGTCCTTTTCCCAGGCAATTAGACAAAAGTCCCCATTCCCTCAGGGGCTTGAAGAAAGTTCCTGCATGCTAAAAAGGGAGTCTTGTGGCCCTTTCATTAACATGACTAGTGCCTATTAAGTTGGCAATTTCAATACTAGCATGCTACAGCTCACATGCCTCCTTCCCCAACCCCATGATTCCACACATCCTCTTTGGGACCTGTTGTGGGATATTTGTACAGTATGTGAAGGGAGGGAGTATAGGCAGGATTTCCAGGGAGAGGAAGGAAGAGGAGGAAGAATCTAGGCTCAGAGAAGACAGGAGACAGGAAGAGGAAACAGGAGGTATAAGGTGGAAGAGAGGATATCTCACGTGATAGACTATAGATTAATAGAAATGCGTTAATTTCAATCATAAGAGCTAGTTAGGAACATGAAATCTCCCTGTCATTATTTGGGAGACGTCTGGCAGGACAGAAAGACTTGTTACAGAGACCTATGCTCTCAGGCACCTGAACTCATGTGTGCATAGATACACACCTAGACACACACACACATAATTAAAAAATAAAATAAAACAGAGTGAAGGGGCCTTGGAGTTGGCACAGAACATACCCAGACATCAAAGTATCAGCACAAAGGAGATTTATTAATCAAGCAAGATAGAGAGACAGGGTGGCCAAACCTCAGCTGGGCAGAAAAAGGGGAAGCCCGGACAGGTTGGTAGGTTTTGATTGGGTATGTTAATTAGGGTAGCCAGATGGAGGACTTTGATTGGGTATGTTAGTTAGGGTAGCCAGATGGAGGACTTTGATTGGGCATGTTAATTAGGGTAGCCAGATGGAGGACTTTGATTGGGTATGTTAGTTAGGGTAGCCAGATGGAGGACTTTGATTGGGCATGTTAATTAGGGTAGCCAGATGGAGGATTTTGATTGGGTATGTTAGTTAGGGTAACCAAATGGGGGGTTTTGATGTTTTGATGGTTGGACCTTGGTGATCAGCCTCAGGAATGAGTCTGATACAAAGAATTGGCCAAATAGGACTCTCGTGGTTTAGCCCAAGAGAGAGAAGGCAAGGGCAGGACATGCCATGAGCATGCTTGGGCCTGTTAGAGTCCTTCACAGGGTGCTAGGGAAATGGTTCAGCAGTTAAGTACACATACCAAAGTTCAGTTTCTAGCATCCACTTCAGATGTAATTCCAGCTCCAGGAGATCTCATGCTTCTTCTAGCCTCCTTGAGTATCAGCACACATGAGCACATACCCACACACACACACATAGTTAAAAATAGGAAAATATATTTTAAAACATCTTTAAAAAGCAAGAAAACAGTCAGTCGGTGGTGGCTCATGCCTTTAATCCCAGCACTCGGGAGGCAGAGGCAGAGGATCTCTGTGAGTTCAAGACCAGTCTGGTCTACAGAGTAAGTTCCAGTACAGCCTCCAAAGCCACAGAGAAACCCTGTCTGAAAAAACCAAAAAAAAAAAAAAAGTAAGAGAACAAAACATAGGTTCAGAAAAATATTGTAGACAATTACCTCGAGACATGGGAATAAAACCCATTTCATACATAATGAGTTTCATGTTTAGACTGATCTCATGCCCCAAAACATACAATATCTTATTGTATGTTTACAAACATTTCAAAATCTAAAATCTATTTCCCAAGCATTTCAGAAAAGGGACACTCAGCTTGGGCAGTGCCCCTTTTGCCTGTAATTGCCTGTAAATACCCCTTTCCTATGAAAAACAATTGTCCCTTAAATGAATATACTCAAGCCAGTTTTCTCTATTTGTTGTTGCTGCTGCCCTTTTTTAAAAATTGGGACAGAATATCATGTAGCCCAGGTTAGCCTCCAGTTCCTATGTAGTCATCTTATTTAGGGTTTCCGTTGCTGTGAAAAGACAACATAACCATGGAAACTCTTTTTTTTTTTTTTTTTTTTTTTTTTTTGGTTTTACGAGACAGGGTTCCTCTGTATTGTTTTGGAGGCTGCCCTGGAACTCACTCTGTAGACCAGGCTGGCCTCGAACTCACAGAGGTCCACCTGCCTCTGCCTCCTGAGTGTTGGGATTAAAGGCGTGTGCCACCAACGCCCGGCAACCATGGCAAGTCTTTTTTTTTTTTTTTTTTTTGGTTTTTCGAGACAGGGTTTCTCTGTGGCTTTGGAGGCTGTCCTGGAACTAGCTCTTGTAGACCAGGCTGGCCTCAAACTCACAGAAATCCGCCTGCCTCTGCCTCCGGAGTGCTGGGATTAAAGGCATGCGCCACCACCGCCCAGCCCATGGCAACTCTTATAAAGAAAACATTCAATTGAGGTGGTGGCTCACAGTTTCAGAGGTTCAGTCCATTATCATCGTGGTGGAGAGCATGGCTGCATGCAGGCAGATGATAGCTGAGAGTTCTACTGTGTCTTGCAGGCAACAGAAAATCGACTGAGATACTGGATGGTATCCTGAGCATCAGAAACACACAGTGACATACTTTCTCCAACAAGGCCATACCCACGCCAAAGCCACAGTCCCTAATAGTGTCATTCCCTACCAGGTTATGGGGGCCATTACATTCAAACTACCACAGTAGCTCAAGATGACTGAACTTCTGATTCCCCTGCCTCTACCTTGAGAGTAGTGGGATAACAGGCATGTGCCACTGCATTCACAATGCTTCGTTGTGCAATATTTTATAATTTAGAAGTTCTTGGAAAAGAAACAAGCCCATAAATATAAGTAAATCTAAACTGGGTAGTGGTGGCACATACTTTTATTTTATTCATTTATTTATTATTTATTTATTGGTTTTTCGAGACAGGGTTTCTCTGTGGCTTTGGAGGCTGTCCTGGAACTTGCTCTGTAGACCAGGCTGGCCTCGAACTCATTAAAGGCATGCACCACCAACATACTTTTAATCCCAGCAGGAACCTGGAGGCAGGAGCCTATGCAGAGGCTGTGGAGGTGCTGCTTATTGGCTTGATCCTCATGGCTTGCTCGACCTGCTTTCTTGTAGAACCCAAGACCAGCAGCCCAGAGATGGCCCCGCCCACCATGGGCTGCCCGCCCCTCATGAATCATTAACTAAGAAAATGCCCAGAGATGGCCCCGCCCACAATGGGCTGCCCTGCCCCTCATGAATCATTAATTGAGAAAATGCCCTACAGGCTGGCCCACAGCTGGATCTTGTGGAGGCATTTTTCTCAATTGAGGTTCCCTACTCTCTTATGACCCTAGCCTGTGTCAAACTGACATAAAACCAGCCAGCACTCTGCTCTGCTGAGCTTTCTTGTCTTGGTTTCTTTCTTGTATATTAAAAATATTTTTCTTGGGGCTGGAGAGAGGGCTCAGCGGTTAAGAGCACTGACTGTTCTTCCACAGGTCCTGAGTTCAATTCCCAGCAACCACATGGTGGCTCACAACCACCTTGAATGAGATCTGGTGCCCTCTGCTGGCATGCAGGCAGAAGACTGTATACACAATAAATAAATAAAATATTTTTTAAAAAAGTTTTCTTAAAAAGATAACGATGCTTGGCTTTCTGTGTATTTAAGAGTGAGGTCTTAGCTGGGCAGTAAGTAGTGGCACATGCCTTCAGCCCCAGCACTCAGGAGGCAGAGGCAGGTGGATTTCTGTGAGTTTGAGGCCAGCCTGGTCTACAGAACGATTCCCAGGACAGCCAGCCAGGGTGACTATAATAAGATTAATTTCTATTTCATTAAGATAAGACTGATAAGGTACTTTTGGGGATCTCCCCCGCCTTGGGGGTGATAAGCTTCCCCACAGCAGGTTTTTCACTTGCTGTTGTTTAGGAATTAATATTCTCAGGGTTGCTAAACCAGTTATCATTCTGTTTGCTTTCCATCTTCCAAAATGTTCCTATCACCACCTTATTTTCCTTTTTCTCTGTTCTCACGGGTTTCTCCCTTATGGTCTGGACAAAAGAAAAGCTCTCCCCCAGCCCCTCAGCCCTCCCCCAACTTTGACAAGAAGCCCCCTTATTTTATTTATTTTTCTCCTTTCTTTTCTCTCCTGTTCTTCCTCTCCCAAGCCTGTTTTGAGTTTTTTTTTTTTTTGGTTTTTGGTTTGTTGTTGGTGGTTTGTTTGTTTCTTCAAGATTTTGCATGTATAAGCTGGGCTGACCTCCAGCTGTCCATCTTTTTGTGTCAGCCTGTAATTATAGGCATCTGCCTCCTCTCTTGGCCCCATTATTATTTCTTCTTCTCCTTTTGAGACAAGTGTCTGTGTATTCCAGGCTTGGGCTGAACTCTATGTATCCAAGGATGACGGCTTGGATTCCAGGTGTGCACCAGCATGCTTGGTTTACACTGCGCAGGGGTATTGAACCCAAGACTTCCCAAGTCATCTCTTGTATCCCAGAGTGGCCTCGAACTCACCATAGGGAGGAGGATGACCCTGAATTATTGATCCTCCTGTCTCTGCTTGACAAGGACTGAGATTACAGGCATGCACTACCCCACTCAGCCCCTTAAGATAATTGCACTGAAAGATAAATTCCGGTTTTGACACAGATTATTTGGTTGCCCTAATGTAGTATGTGTGTATATATACTATGCTTCTGTACGACATGCTTCTGTATAGTAATTGTTTTGCAAAAAGCATTACGTTACTTCCAAAGATACCCCCCACCCCACCATCCGCCTCAATACTCTGCCTGGTGGGAGCGCCATACATTGCAAGAAATACATGACAAAGTGATCAGAAGCGCAATGCTGGGCGAGGGCAGAGACACGCAAAAAGAACACAGCCATAGACCACGCCTCTCTGGAATAAAGAGCGAGGGGGCGGGGTTCAATCTCATTGATGATTGGTTGTTATCTCTGACCAATCATGAACAGCGATTGATTTCTCCTCACTCCCACCCCCACCCCCCAACAGAGATTTTGACGCCACGTTTACAAATGAGGACAGGGTACGTAAGAGAGATGGAACGGGCAGCCAATGAGATCTCGGAGCACTAATAGGAGGGTGAAGCCGCTGCCAGGTTCGGGGCGGAAGGAACGTCCCCGGCTAAGACGGAGCGGAAGATGGCGGCGGAAGCGCTGCTGTCCAGTGTGTTGGGGTTGCTATCGCTCGGGCTCCTGCTACCTGCGCGGCTGACGGGGGCCGTCGGGAGCCTGAATCTAGAGGAGCTGAGCGAGATGCGTTATGGCATCCAGATCCTGCCGTTGCCTGTCATGGGAGGGCAGGTGAGGGCTGTAGGGGCGAGGGTCCTATGCTAGGGGAAGGGGCTCGCACACGATAAAGGAGGAAGGGCAGGTGCGAGCCGGGCACCGGAGACCAGGGGGGGTGGAGAAGGGTAGCTGGTGCTCACACGGCGCCGCTGGCAATCGCAGGCGGACCCATTCCCGGGGGACCCGGCACCGGCAGGGGTGGGGCTTCCCGCTGTGCACCTCGGGTCCCGGGGTCACGGTGAAAGCTCCCAGACTCCGCCGGGTGGGGGAGTGAGAGCGCCCTTTTCCTCCGCCCGCCCGCCCGCCCGAGTGCAAGCTGGAGGACCTGTGGCTTCTTCTCTTCGACTGGGCACTTACTTCCCCAGGGTCTGAAGAGGGATCTCGCTGTTCTTGATCCCAGCCTCTACCTCCCTGGCCCCCTTCCCGACCCTTCTTTCCCAGAGCCAAGCTTCAGACGTGGTGGTGGTGTCTTCGAAGTATAAACAGCGCTATGAGTGCCGCCTGCCAGCTGGAGCCATTCACTTCCAGCGGGAAAGGGAGGAAGAGGCACCCGCCTACCAAGGGCCTGGGATTCCTGAGTTGTTGAGCCCTATGAGAGATGCTCCCTGTCTGCTGAAGGTGAAAGGACCGGGCGGTGGGTGGGATGTAGTCATGACAACTGGAGTGCTAGGGAAGGAGTGGGTCTTCGGGGGGGCCTGTGCGAGTTCCGGGGCCCCTGGTGTGCTAGATATAGTTACAGACAATGGGTGGAGCTCAAAGACTGTTGCATCCACAGATCACCTTTGCCGAATGTGGGGAAGGGTTACTGATAGACGAGAGAAGCAGGCGCCTACCCAGAAAGTCACCGTCTGCCCCTGTTGGTCGTAACTCAGGATCCCATTGTATTTTGGGGAAGTTCATTTAATGCTTGAACCTCTGGGAGTCTTGGTCTGAGAGCTTCAAGGATAACACGATTTCCTATCTTTACGGTGGGCAGAGAGTCTATGATCCCAGGCTGGAGCACATGGCATGGCCCTGTCTCACCCGTCCCCTGACAAAAAAGGAAAGAAAGCAAGAAAAGAAAGAAGGGACACATGTGGAAAGTAGGCATATTTTAGATGTGCGTCTCCAACCATGAAAGAAACAGCTGTCCCTTCTCGCAGAGTCTGGACAACAAACGAGGAAACAGACAGAGATGGGAACTAAATGGAAGTGTATATATTCTGGAGCCAGGAGACTGTGTTTTCAAAAGGAGGGATTTTCATGCCCCTTGATGGTTCATTTTTCAATTGTCAGACCAAGGACTGGTGGACGTATGAATTCTGTTATGGACGCCATATCCAGCAGTACCATATGGAAGGTGATTTGTTCTTAGATTTTTTTTCCCAAGCCTTCACCGTCATGTGTGGAAGGGGACCTCCCTTCCCTCCCAGTCTCCTCCCTTCTAGACCTCATAATGAGAATAATGTGCTTTCCCGTGGCTTCTCTTACAGACTCAGAGATCAAAGGTGACGTCCTCTATCTCGGCTACTATCAGTCAGCCTTCAACTGGGATGACGAAACAGCCAAGGTGACGGAAGAGTGTGGTCAGAGTGGGGACAGGCCGAGCTGCGGGTCGACAGCTCAGGCAACAGGGGAGGGGCACATTTAGCTGGTGCGAATCGTGGGGTTTGGTGCCCATCAAGACCGAGTCCCCTGGGATCGAGACTCCTGTGATGTCGGGGTCCCTGCGGGAAGCTGGGGTCATTCTTCTACCTTGCTTCTTTCTGTTATACCCTCTCCACCCCTCCTGATGTTTTTTCTCCAGGCCTCCAAGCAGCATCGACTGAAACGCTACCACAGCCAGACCTACGGCAACGGGTCCAAGTGTGATCTCAATGGGAGGCCCCGAGAAGCCGAAGTTCGGGTAAGGAGCGCGGTCCCCGAGTATCAGCCCACCTTCCCTGGGAGGAGGGCACATCTAGTTGGCCGCTAGACGCCATTGTCCGGACTTAATTCTGTGCTTCCCGTGTGCTACCCTGAGCACTTCCAGCTGTGTTTAGTCTTTCCAGCGTTTCTCCTCACACTCATCTGAGCTGTTATTACTGTTGGTGTCTCTGACCCCTCATGCTCTGGATGTAGCACTGAGGCATTGGTCTTAACTCTTCTGGCGGAGCTCCTGCGTGGGTGGGAGGCCTGGCATAGGGAAAGACAGATGTCAACACAATGAGTGTGGAAGAAGCCAGTAAGGCAGGGCTCTCAACCTGTGGGGCTCGTGACTCCGTTAGACAAACAGCCCTTCCACAATCCTGACATTGCACATCAGATCTTTACATTATAATTCATAACAGTGGCACAGTCATAGCTATGAAGTAGCAAGGAACATGTTATGGTTGGGGATCACCACAACAAAAGGAATTGCGCTAAAGGGTTGCAGTGTTAGGGAGGTTGAGAACCGTTCTAAGGAGCGAGTGTGAAGGAGAGAGGGTCAGTTCTCCCAAAGCCCCGTTATCCTAGGGATCTATTAAAACTCTTCAGGGCGGGGCATGGTAGCGCATGCAAGCCTGTAATCCCAGCACTCTCGGAGACAGAGCAGGCGGATGTCTGTGAGCTTGAGGCCAAGCCTAGTCTACAGAGTGAGTTCCAGGACAGCTTCAAAACACAAAAACCTCTCTTTGGTTGGATATGGTAGCACACACCTGTAGTCTAAGTAAGTTGGAGGCTGAGGGGGAGCATTGTGAGCTCAAGGCTATCATGAACTTCGTGGCAGAACACTGTACTAAAAAACTAACAAAAGAAAACCTTGTTTTGTCCCGTGTTTGAGACTCTGTGATTCTCACCTTCATCTCGGCCGACAGCTTCCTAACCACTGGTCCCTACCACCTGGCTTATAGCTGAGTGGAGGCAGACAGGGGCAGACAAGCATTCAGAAAGAGCTCTCAGTCTACACCTGGAGAGAACCACGTGACACCTACCAGCACCAGCTTCATGTAAAATAGATTCGCACAATCAACTGTGCATAGTATTGAACACCCAATCCCAAGAGTGGGAAGAATAATTCAATGTTAGCAGCTATTCATTGTATGACTCTTCCTTCCATGCCCGAATCAAGCTGTCAGTATGACGTGGACCATCTTGCAGCGATGCCAGAACTTTGCCAGGTGGCCCATGTGAGCTGTGAGCTGGTTCCAATGTGCCAGCACTTTCTGTCTGGTTCTGGAAACCACTCAGTGCTTCTGCCTCACAAAGAAAACCCACATGTTTCAGCAGTGACCGAGTGGTGCCAGGAACTGACAGGAAATAGTCAAATTCTGGATTTACTTTGTCCTTTAATTTTCTTTTTTCAAGACAGGGCTTTTTGCTGGGCAGTGGTGGGGCACGTCTTTAATCTCAGCACTCAGGAGGAAGAGCCAGGTGAATCTCTGTGAGTTTGAAGCCAGCCTGGTCTACAGAGTGAGTTCCAGAACAGCATCCAAAACTACAGAGAGCCAGGCGTTGGTGGCGCACGCCTTTAATCCCAGCACTCAGGAGGCAGAGGCAGGCGGATCACTGTGAGTCTCCAAAAGCCACAGCGAAACCCTGTCTCGAAAAACAAAAAAAAACTGCAGAGAAACCCTTTCTCAGGGAGAAAAAAAAAAAAAAGACAGGGCTCCTCTGTGTAGTCCTGTCTGTCCTAGAACTTGATCTGTAGACCAGGCTGGTCTTAAACTCACAGAGATCCTCCTGCCTCTGCCTCTTGAGATTATTAAAGAGTGTGTCACCACTGCCTGGCTTAATTTTCATTGTTTTTAATTTATTTATTTTTGGGGTGAGGGGTTCAAGACAGGGTTTCTCTGTGGCTTTGGAGGCTGTCCTGGAACTCTCTCTGTAGACCAGGCTGGTCTTGAACTCACAGAGATCCACCTGTCTCTGCCTCCTGAGTGCTGGGATTAAAGGCGTGCACCACCAACGCCCAGTTTAGCCTGCTTTCTTAATAGAACACAGTACCTCCAGCCCAGGGATGGCACCACCCAATGACCTGGGTTCTCCCTCTTCAATTACTAATTGAGAAAATGCCTTACAACTGGATCTCAAGAAGGCATTTATTTTCTCAGCTGAGGTTCCTTCCTTTCTGATGACTCTACTTGTGTCAAGTTGAGACAAAACCAGCCAGCCCAGTGTTTTATATTCCTCAAAGTCAGTGTCATAAACTGGCCTTGGGATGGCTCAGCCCTACTGAGGCAGGGGACTGCGAGTCTGGGGCCAGCCTGGACTCCATAGGGAGTTGTAGGCCATTCTGGGTTACAGAATGAGAGACTGTCGTAAAAACAAACAAGAGTATGTACCATTGCCTGAGATGTTCTTACGTAATGTCTGCCTCCATATAGCTATACTAAAAAGAGCCCCAAGAAGGGAAGGTGATGTCTGACCTGTTTCTTGCTATATCCTAGTTCCTGGGGTGGGGCCTAATACCAGTCGATACCCAACTATTTACGCAATGAATACAATGAATAAATGACAACCCGTTCAAATATTTCCTTTCTTTCTGCAGAGGCAGGTGGATCTCTGAGTTCAAAGGCAGCCTAGTCTACAGAGTGAGTTCCAGGACAGTCAAAAGCTATACTGAGAAACCCTGTCTTGAAACAAAACAAAGCAAAAAAACCATTCCATCTGGAGTGAGGTGCTATCTAGCTGTGGTTTCAGTTTGCATTTCCTAGATAACTGTTCATTCTTTCCACCATGGGTTCCCAGAATCAAATTCAAGTCATCAGGCTTGCACAACAAACACTGTCACCCACTGAGCCATCCTGCTAACCCACAGAGACTTTTAAGATGTGCTTATAGGCATATATCTGCAACTGTTTCAACATGAATCTAAAAATCCCTCCATTCTCTTATACAGATGCTGTTTTTCTGTTACACACCTGCACCATCTCTTATCTAAATAGTTCCCTACGGATGGATATGTAGTTGTCTTAAAGCTTTTATTTATATAGAATTGCTGCAGTGAACAGTCTTCTTGTACCTATAGAGTATATGCAGATTATATTCCTGGAAGTAGACTTGTGTGATTTGGATATGTGCTGCCAAATTACCCTACTTAGGAACACTGCTCTCCTCAGTGTGTAAAAATGCCAGCCTGCTATCTTTTTAAACTTTTGGAATTTGGCTATGCATTGGCTATGCATCAGATAAAGAATTCTTTCTCAGAATGGTTTTGTTTTACATTTCTCCTTACAATTCCTTGTCCTTAAGAGTTTCTTGTCATCACAACACTTAGGAGGCAGAGGCAGGAGGATCACTAGTTTGCATAAGGAGTTCCAAGATAGCCAGGGCTACATTGTGAGACACTGTCTCAGAACAGGCAAACAACAGTCTCATCCCTTTAATACTTTGTTGTTTTTGCTTTTTTCCAGACAGGCTTTTTCTGTGTAGTCCTGACTGTCCTGTAATTCACTCTGTAGACCAGACTGGCCTCGAACTCACAGAGATCTGTAGTCTGCCTCTGTCTCTGCCTCCCGAGTGCTGGGGTAAAAGACGTGCACCACCACCCAGCTCCTTTACACTTTAACTATCATTGTCTTTGCCTTGTTTCCCAGTGACTTGTCTACTTGTATGTCAGTGACCATCCTGCTGACTTTGTAGCTTTTCTTGAAACTTTTTCCCCCTCCTGGTCCTGAGGATTGAATCCATGCCTTTGACTTCTGGTCCATCCTTTTAAGTTCCTGAGCAGAATGTCCACCTCACTAATTTCCAGGCTCTTTCCTAATTTCGTATTTAAAGCTATCTATTTTGCTCAGAATACTATTTGGTTGCATCCCTCCAATTATTTATTTATTTATTTGGTTAGTTGGTTGGTTGGTTGTCTTTGGTTTTTTTGAATCAGGGTTTTTCTGTGTAGCTTTGGAGCCTGTCCTGGAACTGGATCTTGTAGACGAGGCTGGTCTTGAACTCACAGAGATCCACTTGCCCCTGCCTCTGCCTCCCAAGTGCTGGGACTAAAGGTGTGCACCATCACCCTCAGACCCTCCAATTTTAATGTGTACTTTGTACATTTTCAGTACAGTCTCTACCTTGATTCAGAACTACATTCTTAGTGTCTGTCTAAACCCATGTGTCTTACTTTTGTTGTTTTTGGTTTGGTTTCAGAGGTGGCTGTTGTTTGTTTTGTGTCTTTGAGACAGGATCTCACTGTGTAGCCTGAGCCTCCCAGTGCTGGGATCAAAGATGTGGTAAGACTGCTGTTGTTATTTGCTGTGTGAAAGAATGGTTTTTCTCCTTGAAACTCTTTTTGGTATTTATTTAGGGTTAGTCATGGTCTTTTGCTTCCTTCTGTTTATGATATAGGTTGTTTGTTCCCCACAGTAAGCCACAATGACAAGGAACTGGTCACTTCCTGTCAGTCCATAGGAGCTGCTTTGGGTTTGGCCTGCTGCTGTTGAAGCCAGGTTTCTTACTCTTTGGCCTCTTTTTTTTTTAATCTTCCTTCACCAGTTCATGTTTCACATGCTCAATTTTCAGGTTCATACTCCTGGCAAGAAACTTGCCTGTAACTTGTTTGTTTACAACACTAACAGAATGCCGAGTGGCACTCTCGGTTTGCTATGGTAACCTTTATGGGGTGTTCCTTGCTGGACAGTACTACATAACCCTTCTTGTGGGTTCCCATATATGTGGCCAAAAGCAACTGTGTGTTCTAAAAGCCTGGAGAATTTGTAGCTGCTGCCTGTCCGCTCTCTCTTTCCCTCTGTGTTTGCCATCTTGGTGAGTTTGCAGGCTAGCCCAGCAGTTCCTTATGTGACCCAGTTCCAGGCTTGCACACTGAGGCCTCGCTGAAGGTTAAGTGGACAGACACACATTCACTTCAGGGTGACGTATCTTCACTGCAGTGTGAGCTGCAAGACATATAGTGGATGCCTGGGACTCAGGCTGATTGTAGCCAGGATG